TGCGCCCGGGCATGGGAGCTGTCTGAGCTGGGGTCGCTCCGATGCTTGCGGGACGGCCCCCTTCGGCACCTGCTCCGCGTCGGCTTCCCAGGCATTCCCGGTGCGCACGCCTGCAGCCCTGGGAGTGAAGCTCCGCTCGAGGCTTCCCAGACTTGGTTTGTGGGAAGAGCACGAGGTGCGGGGCGTCCCTGGTTCATGCCCTGAGGCCAGGCTGTAACCGCAGGTCTTCAGGCTGTGGCGGCGACTGTCAGGTGTGTTGGCCCGCTCGGCCGACCTGGTGTAGGGGGCGTCTGCCTGTGCATGGGGCAAAACCGAACTCCTTGGCAGGGGGAAGTGTTTGTGCCAGAACTTGATCATTAACCTGCCTTATTGCGAAAAGTGGGTCAGACCAGAGTTGCTGTTTTTAAAGCAAAGGTCGTTAGTGTGGAGTCAAGCTCCCAGCGATCCCCCATGGTGGCTGTGTGGTGGTGACTGTGGCAGTGGCTGCAGCTTGTCTCGGGGGGCGGGGGCCTGCTTTCCCTTTCTCCTGAGCCCCTTCTCTTCCCTCTGTTACCTCCGCCGTCTCTCAGACTCCAGCTTTGGGGCTGGAATCCCCTTGCCAGACCTTCAGTCGTCATCTTCCTCAGGCCTGGGCTGCGGTCCTCTTTGCTCCGGGTGGCAGTGGGGGTGCAGAGCTACTCCTGTCCCCCAGTTCCTCCCGCCTCTGTCGACTGTCCTCAGTTGGGACTTGTGGTCTTAACGCCTCATCATCTCCCTTCCCAGCTTCAGTGAGGGCACCAGGGCTGACTTGGGGATCAGGATGGGGACAGCGTTCGGCCCTCTGACCCTGTTCCCATCATAGCAGAGTTACCTTGGGGTGAGGGACAGGTGCTGGGGCAGTACTGCTGATTGCCTAGACAAGGCCAAGGTTTGGGCAGCACAGCAAATGCTGATCGCCCCAACCTACCAGGCTTTGTGCTGATGTGGTTCTGAATCCGTGTGGGCAGGCTAGATAAGAGGAGTTTGGCTGATTTCCCCTTTAGCAGAGACCTGAAGAGTCGAAGTGACTTGCCCAAGGTCACACAGCGATTTAGTTGTTAAGGGAAGTGTTTAGATTCCAGCTCATGGCCAGCAAGCCAAGGCTGCCGTGGCCAGGCCCAGAGGAAGTTGGGACAGGCGTGTTGGTTTGGATCACATGCTGAGAACGAGGGGGCCGAGGAGCATCTGTTGGAGGATTTCTGTGAGGGAGTCAGTGAAGCCCCTTCCTAACTGTGCTGGTGGTGGGGCTCTGTCTGGGGTAAACTGAGTCAGGGAAGGGCACAGCTATTTGGGGAAACTGGGAGCATATTCGTGGGCAGGACATGGGCTCCTACGTCCCTGGGAAGCTAGTACAGGTAGCTAAGACTTACATTACAGCCAGCCCGGATCTGTTGAAAGGAAGGAGCCTTAATGAAGACCCACCCCGCTGCAAGCTGGGGCCCACCTGAGCATCAGAACGAAGGCTTCTGACCTCTGAGATCCAGCTCTGGAAGGCTCTTCAGTCCCCTTAAGAAGGAGGTGATCAAGGCCATTGAGGGTGGGGGGCAAGGGTTGGTTACCTTCCTGGGAATACAGTGGCTTTTAGGGGTTAAGAGAACAGGCAGGTTTTTCAGGTCCACAGTGGTGTGTCAGGTTCCTTCTGCCCAGGGGAGAGCTCCCTGGAGTTGAGGCCCAGAGGGGGAGGAGGAGGAGGCTGGCAGCTGGAGAAGGAGTCTAGGGGCTAATGGGAGCTCCCCAAGAGTATCCTAAAGCTCCTCTCTTGGATGGGATGTGGGGAGAGCAGCTTGAGGAACTCTGGACTGTCCTCAGGCCCTGAACACCTGCCTCTGGCCTGGGTGGGACAGGAAGGAGGCAAACAAGTGCCTGGTCTGTGGGTTCTTCGATAGGCCGCCTGCCTGCCCCATTGCCTTTCCCTGAAGCCCTGGGCTCCTGGGACGGGTGATGCACCTTTTAGGACCCTACTTCCTGCTGGAGCCTCAACTGCCGAGGCCTTGGCTGGGGCGTGGCCTGGCCCTGGCACGATCTTCTGAGTGAGATTGTGCCTGGCTTGGGCAGCTCACAGGCCCTCTGAGGAGGCCTAAGTTTCTTTTCTAGTTCCTCCTGTCTGCTGCCTTTGGGCTCCCTGCGCCTCCAGGCCTGCTGGGGTGCACTTTACCTCTTCACTGGCATCTGAGTTTGTGTGTATGCAGAGTGCTGCTGGGCCCCGTTCTCCCGCTCTGCAGAAGGCCTCCTTTTCCCCTCCTCGAAAGCTCACATCCTCAGAGGTGCGGGCGGGAGAGGAGGGAGTAGTGGCCTGAGGGTGTAGAGGCCTTGGCGGATGCTGTGCCTGGGATAGATCTGCCCCCGGGTAGAGTCTTGAGGCCTGGAGAAGGAAGCAGGTGCAGCCCACCTGTGGGTGCTGCCGGGCCCCTAGGGAGGGCGTGGGTGGGCTGCGCTGCACGGGAGTGGGTCAGTAGGAGTGGGTCGGCGGGAGCGGGTTGGCAGGGGCTGGTCGGTAGCCTGCGCTCTGTGGGAGTGACTCAAAAGCCATGGGCTTGGGCATTTGACACACCTGTTTTTTCTTTTTTTTAAACTTAATCCCAAATGTGATAGTAACACCTGGTTTTTTCTTGCTCTGGGTTGGCTGCCTCTTGCCTCTGTGACCTTGGGCAGCTGCTTCCTAGCCTTCTGGAGCCTCAGTTTCCTCAGGTGAGATGGGCTGGCCAAGCCAATTTAGGGAGCTGCCGTAGGTGAGATGGGCTGGCATGGTGGTTCAGGGAGCTGCCGTGGGCTGGGCCTAGCGTGAGTCCTGGCTCTGTGGTAACCAGAACGTAGGTGGTTGTCAACACTGCTCTGGGGTCACTGCCAGGCTGCCCTCCCCCAGCCCTGCCTCCGGAGGGTTAGGGTGTATTTTGCGAGGGGATAGGAGCAGAGGGGCTCTGCCTAGGCCTGGTCCTTCTCCTCTGGTCATTGTGTGAGACACAGAACCTTCCATGGGGGCTGTGAAGCAGCCCAGGGTCTGCCTGATCCCTGGTCCTGGAGAGGGGAGGGGATGGAGTGAGAGCCTGACTCCCGCCCACCCTGGGTAGGGTGGATGCTGGGGCAGTCCTCACTGGGCCCTGGCAGCATGTCAGAGGCCCTGGGAAGGCGCCCTGGCCAGCTGGGCTCCTCCCCCGCTGCGCGGCCGCCGGCCTCTTGCTGCCAGCTCTGCTCTCCCCTGGGAGAGACTTGGTTCCCTCCTGGCAGGGCCGGGGCTGCTGGGAAGGGAAGATGGAGCCTGCCAGCTTCTTGATGGAGCCTGGAGGCCAGGGGCACGGGTGCAGTTGTCCTCTGGGAAGCTGGGGGCCCATCCCCCTCCCTCCCAGCAGAACCAGTGACTCCCAGGAAGGGGCTGGCAGCCAGGTCACCTGCAGGGGGCAGCAGGAGCCAGAGGTCCCAGCCAGGCCCTTGGCCCAGGGACAGCGGGGTGCTCAGTGTCTGGGACTGGTGGGCAGAGGCAGCCACCTTATGGCCTGGGCCCGGGTCTGTGCCAGCTGTTGCCGGCAGCTGGCGGAAGCAGTCCTGTTCACCCCCACTGGGGTGGGAGCTGAGGAGAGGACCCCTTTACTGGGCCCTGCCCCTGCCAGCCAGTCTCCTACGCCCTCAATCTTGAGGGGTCCAGGTACCCCAAGTTCTGGGTTCTCTGATTCCCCTAGCAGCTTTGCCGGCAGTGACCCCCTCTCTAGGGGGCATAGGGAGGCGGGCCTGAGTGCTGATAGCAGCTCCCCCTGGGGTCCTGGGGCCATTGGGTTATCCTGGCCCACAGCTGTCCTTCTGGCCGACCTTGAGCGGGATGCCAGGCAGGGGGAGTGTGCCCTTCCTAGGGCTGCCACGGCAGGCCTGGCCCCGCTGAAACCCGAAGCCAGCCAGAGCTCCAGCCCCGGACCGACTGGCTGCATTAGGGCAAGGGTAGCGGCTGAGGCTGGAACGAGGCACCCAGGCAATGCTGGGGCTGATGTGGAGAGCCGGCTGCCTTGCTGCCACGGCCATCCTGAGACTCCAGAGCCGAGGGCAGGGCAGCTGCCAACTGCACCAGGTGAGCACCGGGACCTGGTGAGCCAGCCAGTTGTGTGTGGGGGAGATCGCTCCGCCTTCATCCAGGGGTGGGGAGACCTTTGGGGTTTCTTGGAGGAAGGTTCGGGGCAGGACATGCTGTCCTGGGGAGAGGAGGTCCATGGGCAGCCAGTCACATTCCTTTGAAACCAGATCAGGGAATAGGTACCCCTGAGGGTGGTCTCCCTGGGCTGGGGAAGGAGAGTGGGAGCCGGGGCCGCCTTGCCTTGTGCTCCCTCCTTTCTGTCCTCCCATTCCAGACAGGCGGAAGAACACAGGCTGTCTCTGTCTAGGTATTTGACGCCCCGCTTCTAGGATCTCACAGCGCAAAACCGCTGTTCGATATTGGGTGGGGGCTCTTCCTGCTTCTCTCCTTCCAGGGGCTTTTGGCAGCCGGCACAGCCTTTCTCAGGGACCCTGTGGGGGGTTCCTGGCTCCCGGCTGCAGGTGCCTCCACCTGGCTGCCCTGCTCTTGCCTTTTGAAAGCTGACCGACCACCGCCCAGCTGTCATCTGCTGTGTCCCTAGAGTCAGGCAGGTGTTCGCCTGGAGGGGGGCTGCTCCCTTGCTAGCAGCTTGGAGGTGTCCTTGCCGGGGCGGTTGGGTCCTGGCAGGGAGGTCTTTGTGCATCCTTGTGGTTCCTAGGAGTCCACGGCAGGCTTGGAGAGGGTGGGGTGGGGATGGAGAGGCGTGACAGACACAGTCATTGAAAGTCCTCAGCGGCCAGAGTGGAGGGCGGTGCTGCGGTGTGGGGTGCAGGCCGCAGGAGGGGGTCTGGGCCCTTTCTGACTTGGTTGACCTTAGGCCAGGCTCCGAGCCTTTCTGGCCTTCAAATACCCCTCTTTGGGGGAAGGGGGAAGAGACTGTCTGGGCTCTCAGAGGTCCTGTTTTCTCATTTACTCGTGGGGTTCCAGGGAAAGGGAGTGGCTCTCCAGGCCCCGGGCTCTGCCTTTCTGTGCCGGCCCCATCCCCTCCCTGAGGCTTCTGCTCCGCGTTTCTGGGGGGTCCGGACTGGGACCACACAGTTCTGGGAGATGTACCTGTCCCTACTCCTGAGAGCTGGGCAGGGAAGGGGAGGTGGGTCTCGATGGGATGGGCAGAGCTGGGTGAGCTGTTCTTTCTGGAAGGGAACCCAGGCCGTCCTCAGAGTTGGCACCGTTGAGCTTCAAGCCAAGCCAGGCAGGTGAGCCTGGCCGATGGGCAGGTCCTGGGGCCAAGGTCCTCGTCTCCCAGATGGGTGCCCAGGCAGGCCTGTGTCTGCTGGAGGTGATGAGAGGCGGTCTTTGGCTCCTCCGCGGAACAAGGGGCTCTCCTTTGTTCCACTGGTGCCTGGGTAGGAATGCAAGGTTTTGTCACCTCCTCCCCACCCTGCTGGATTGGGTGCTGTGTACAAATATTGGACTTAGCTACAGGTTTGCAGTAAGTACCTTATTTATTGCCTTTTTTGTTGAGCCTGGGCAAGATAGAACGTGGTGGTTAGAGCTGGTGAGGACGCCACTCTGGGTGCAGAATGTCTCTGGGAATGAAAGGGGGGTGGGGTGTGATCCCGCCATTAAGGGTCGTTTGGGCAGGCTGCCGAAAAGGTTTATTTCTCCTAGGCCTTGAAGGGTGAGTCAGTGTTTGCTGTACACAATGGGATGTCAGGGGCAGCACACGCACAAGCACAGCGGTGGGAGGGCAGTAGGCGGCCCCAGGCTTCCATGGTGTGATGTCCTTAGGCCTCAGCAGGGAGCAGGCAGGAGCCCAGGCTGACTTCAGGTGGGTGCCTGAGAGCACTGGCCTAAGACGCTTGGTCTTGTAAGCAGTGGGCTTCCCAGGAGGAAGGTGGCCCTGCTGAATAGAGGAAATGCCTGCCCCAGGGCAGTGGCTGCAGAGGCCAGGTCCTGTGGGTGGGTTGGGAGATACCTAGTGGGTGACTAGATAGAGCAGGCCCCGGTGTGAGGAGGAAGATGAGTTCCGTTCCTGCAAGACGAGTCTTCAGTGACGCCTCAGGGCCAGCCACTTGTTGATGCCTGGGAGGCGGCCGTCTCCTTGGTCCAAAAGGCTGGAGAGGGGACAGGATTGGCCATGTGAGCCACGAGGCAGGAGTGTATGGGAGGGGCTGGGGTCAAAAGGAGGAGAGGCTGGGCCCGGGCACACCCCTGCAGCCCCGCTGCAGCCTGGGACCTCAGCTCAGTGGGGATGGAAGAGGATGGGGCTGGAGGGGGAGGGGCAAGGGCACTGCGTGGGTCAGAGAAGACGAGAGGAAGAGGGGCTGCTGCTGGGAAGCCAGGTGTGTTAGGGCCGGAGGAGACCCTTGGGTTTGGCTTGTAGGGTGGCTTTGGTGACCCTGGGGAGAGTGGTTTGGGCCGCGTGTTCAGGTTCCACACTACAGTGGGTCCAGGAGCAGTGGCTGGGAGGGCGGCTGGGTGTGTGAGTGGCCTGCAGGTGTGCGGAGGGCAGGGCGAGACCGCGCGGCTGGGGCGTGTGAGGTCAGGTGGACGGCACCCCGGACCAGCGAGGCTGCCTGATTCTGATCCATTCTTGTCCCACAGAGCTGCCATCAGTCATGCTCTTAAACGGGGACTGCCCAGAGAGCCTGAAGAAGGAGGAAGGGGCGGCCGAGCCACCCAGGGAAAATGGGCTTGATGAGGCCGACCCGGGAGACGAGACCACCGGCCAGGAAGTCATTGTCATTCAGGACACGGGCTTTTCTGTGAAGATCCTCGCCCCTGGGATCGAGCCCTTCTCCCTGCAGGTAAGATGGAGGAAGTTGTTGGGGACCAGGCCTGAGCCTGCTGGGGAGGGTGAGCTGGAAAGCTCCTCCTGCCCCACACTGTGGCAGGAAACTGAGGAACCCGTGCGCTCCCCGGAGTCGCCCAGCAAGCGTGATAGACGTGGGAATCGAGCCCAGGGTCAGGTCGTTGCCCCATTGCTAGAGGACGGCGACCAGCTGGGCCCGCCAGCCCTATGTGGGGAGGGGAGTGATGGTGGCTGGGTCGTGTTGGCATCCCAGGACGCCCCAGCCTCTTGCTGTGTGCCCTCAGGCAAGTCAGCTCTCTCGGCCGTGATTTTACCATCTGCCAGAGGGGAGGGTGGTATTGGGTAATCTCCAAGGGCAGAGCCAACGTGGAGGTCTTGCAAGCCGGTGACTCAGTGGGGAATGAGGCAGGGCCGTCGTGTGTCTCAGCATCCACAGGCTTGGGCCCCAGAGCACCCCTTCTGGAAGGTGAAAGCCATTTGCTCCAGGCCCCTTAGCACTGGGCAAGGACGGGGGTGAGGCTGCCGTCAGAATTCTGACCCCCTGTTCTTCCGTCTCCCCTTCTCCGCTCGGGGGTTGCTCCTGGTCTGCAGGGCCGAGTTGGTGGGCCACGCTCCAGGCTGCACACACAGGGCGTGGCACGTGTGGACACGGCCTGGATTTAAAAGCCAGAAAGTGGGAAGTCGAGTATTTGGGGCATTTATTCTGGGGACCAAGGTACTTTGGGCTGGGGACAAGGTGGTATTGTCCTTGCTCTCTGCTACATGGCCTCTCACCAGGGTGGTCGGGGCCTTCTCCCTGCAGGTGTCCCCACAGGAGATGGTGCAGGAGATCCACCAGGTGCTCATGGACCGTGAGGACACGTGTCACCGCACCTGCTTCTCGCTGCACCTGGACGGCAACGTGCTGGACCACTTCTCGGAGCTGCGCAGTGTTGAGGGGCTGCAGGAGGGCTCCGTGCTGCGCGTGGTGGAAGGTTGGTCTGGACGTTGGGCGCCTTCCCAGGGGAGGGTCCACGGAGGCAGAGGCAGGCAGCACCATCCATGCCAGGGTCCCTGTGTCACAGATGAGCTCATGGAGGCAGGATTGGAGTGCAGGTCTGCTTCTCAGGCCATCACACCTATATCTGCCAACTTCACAGCCCATGGGTTGAAGAACAGAGCCGTGGGCTGGGCGTGGTGGTTCACGCCTGTAATCCCAGCAGTTTGGGAGGCCGAGGTGGGTGGATCACCTGAGGTCAGGAGTTGGAGACCTGCCTGACCAACATGGTGAAACCGCATCTCTACTAAAAATACAAAAAGTTAGCCGGGCATGCTGGCACACGCCTGTAATCCCAGCTACTTGGGCGGCTGAGGCAGGAGAATCACTTGAACCTGGGAGGCAGAGGTTGCAGTGTGCCCAGATCGTGCCACTGCACTCCTGCCTGGGCAATAAGAGCGAAACTCCATCTCAAAAAACAAACAAAAGAACAGAGCCATGATTCTAAAACAGAAAAATCCGGCAGTACCGTGCCAGGGCTTGCAGCCAGCCCAGGCCAGTTCCGTAGAGATGAATGAGAAGTCCCAAAAGTTCCCTAGCCCTGGAGTGGGGAGGGCGGGCACAGTGAGGTGCCATCAGGTTGGTCCGTGGCCTTGAGTTTTCTGGGTAGAAGCTGCTCAGGTTCCCCACCCAGGGCCTGTTGAAAGCAGTGACGGAAAAGATCTGTAGCTCAACAGCGCCCACGGTTGATCACGGAACCTCTCCCCACCACCAAAAACGCCGCCATTAAAATCCCATGAAACCGCATGGTGGGCAGTGTCGACAATGGGGGCCTTGGAAAGTCGTCAGGCCACCCCTCCACGAGGCTACCTCGGGAGAGCAGGGCAAGGCTGTGCTGTGGAAGCCCCGAAGCTCCAGGAGCCCTGTCCCCCCGAGACGCTGGCGCACAAAAGCAGGCGGCCGCGTGTGTGCTTCCGAGGCATCTGGCAGAAAGTTCTTTATGAACAAAGATCCCTGCTCACCAGTAGGCAGAGTTTGTGTGTGTGTGTGTGTGCGCGCGTGTGTGTGGTGTCAAAACCAGAACTCCAGCTTATGTGTTCATAGTGGAATTGGAAAACGGAAGCCTAGAGTTGAAAATTAAAACCACTATGTTAGCACCCCCGAAACCTGTTTGGTGCTGAGCAGGTTGTTCAGGGTTCAGGGCTCTGGTGACGCCGTCCCCTCCCGCCTTCCTGACAGAGCCGTACACGGTGCGTGAGGCCCGCATCCACGTGCGCCACGTCCGAGACCTGCTCAAGAGCCTGGACCCATCCGATGCCTTCAACGGGGTTGACTGCAACTCCTTGTCCTTCCTGAGTGTCTTCACCGACGGCGACCTGGGAGGTGCGGGAGGCATGGGGGCCGGGGATTGGACCAAGGGGCGGGGAAAGGTGGGGGGCTGGAGAAGGGGCCGAGGGACCTGGGCCTGAGGCACCCAGACCAGGGCATCGGCAGGTGGGGAGACGGCTGGCCCTGGTGGCTCTGTGCTGAGGACCAGCCTCGGGTCCCTTAGACAGCGGGAAGCGGAAGAAGGGCTTGGAGATGGATCCCATCGACTGTACACCGCCCGAGTACATCCTGCCAGGGAGCCGGGAGCGGCCACTGTGTCCCCTGCAGCCCCAAAACCGCGACTGGAAGGTAGGATCCTGGGGGAGGGAGCAAGAGGGTCCCTGGCGGGGTGGAGGCCCCACACCAGAGGCCTGGCCCCTCAGGCTCAGCCACTCCCGCAGCCCTTGCAGTGCCTGAAAGTACTCACCATGAGCGGCTGGAACCCGCCCCCGGGGAACCGGAAGATGCATGGGGACCTCATGTACCTGTTTGTGATCACGGCCGAGGACCGGCAAGTCAGCATCACCGCGTCCACACGGGGCTTTTACCTGAATCAGTGAGTCCCTGCCAGCCCACCACGCCCCCCTGCCTTGCCGGCTGTTCTGGGTCTGGGCAGACACCTGGGCCCCCGCTCAGTGCCCCCCTCTCCCTGCAGGTCCACGGCTTATCACTTCAACCCCAAGCCCGCCAGCCCCCGCTTCCTCAGCCATTCCCTGGTGGAGCTGCTCAACCAGGTCAGCCCGGCCTTCAGGAAGAACTTCGCTGTGCTGCAGAGGAAAAGGTAGTGCCTGCGCCCTCCCGCCCGTCTCGTGGCACACGGGGCATGGGGTGAGCCGGCCCCGCACTCCAGTGCTCCTGTCTGGAGAAACCGCCCTGCGCCCCCAGTGTTGGAGTCCCCGCTCTAGGGAGCTGTCAGTCGGTGCGGAGACAGCAGCTGCGGGAGGGGGCCCGTGCGCTTCGCTCGGACCTCAGGGCGGTGTCTCAGGGTAGGAGATGCCGGGGCAGGCGGGGGCCTCAGGAGAGGGCCCGTGGCGGGGCTCTGAGCTTGGTGGGCTGCGCCATCTTCCCCTCCCCTGCCTGCCACAGGGTCCAGCGCCACCCGTTCGAGAGGATCGCCACCCCATTCCAGGTGTACAGCTGGACAGCACCCCAGGCGGAGCATGCCATGGATTGCGTGCGCGCAGAGGATGCCTATACCTCGAGGCTGGGCTACGAGGAGCACATTCCTGGACAGGTGCCTGCGGCCTGGCCCTGCCCTCGCTGGGCACCCCTGCCCTCCTGGGTGCTGGGCTGGTTCCCTGCACTTCCTGGAAGCCCCATGCTTGACTCTTCATTTGCGAGTCTGGGGCTCTTCTCAGGAAGGTGGAAGGAGGGACTGCCCAGAGCAGGTCACAGGGCACAGGCTGAGCCCATATCTCCCTCTCTGATCGCTCTGCAGACCCGAGATTGGAATGAGGAGCTGCAGACGACGAGGGAGCTGCCTCGCAAGAACCTGCCTGAGCGGCTGCTCCGAGAAAGGGCCATATTCAAGGTGCCTGCAGCCTCTGCTGACCGGCAGTCTCAGGCCCACCGTCTACCTGCTGACGGTTTTCTTGTGGACAGGAGGAAAGCAAGGGAGGCAGGGGCAGCCCTAACCCTGTCAGGTTCCCCAAAGGCCAGTCAGGGTGTCCTGCAGGGTCTGCTAGTCGTCTGCCTCCCAGCAGACCATCCCGGTACCTTTTTCTGGTCTCTTTGAGGCTCTGAGTCCGTGGGAGGAGCGGGCCCTGCTTCCCGTAGGGACTGAGTGTCCAGGGCCATCCAGCTTCCCGCCCTCAACTGACTGCTGCGGGGCTTTTGCCTGGGCGAGCGCTGGCCAACCGTGGCCCTTCTAGGGCGGGAGCTCATCTGCATTAACACTTTTAGCTGGCTGGGGTTTAAAAGTTATTAGCACTGGGTTAGTAAGAGAAATGAGGAGAAGTAGTTGCTTAAAAGAAAAATCTCAGGCCAGCTTCGGGAGCTCATGCCTGTAATCCCAGGACTTTGGGAGGCCGAGACGGGCAGATCACAAGGTCAGGAGTTCAAGACCAGCCTGGCCAATATGGGGAAACCCCATCTCTACTAAAAATACAAAAATTAGCTGGGCATGGTGGTGGGCACCTGTAGTCCCAGCTACTCAGGAGGCTGAAACAGGAGAATCGCTTGAACTCAATAAGCGGAGGATGCAGTAAGCTGAGATTGCACCACTGCACTCCAGCCTGGCGACAGAGCAAGACTGCATCTCAAAAAACATCTCAGCCAGGCACCGTGGCTCACGCCTGTAATCCTAGCACTTTGGGAGGCTGAAACGGGGGGATCACTTGAGCCCAAGAGTTGGAAACCAGCCTGGGCAACTTGGTGAAACCCTGTCTCTGCAAAAAATACAAAAGATTAGCCGGGCATGGTGGCATGTGCCTGTAGTCCTGGCTACTCAGGAGGCCGAAGTGGGAGGATCGCCTGAGCCAGGGGAAGTTGAGTGAGCTCAGATCTCGTGCCACTGCACTCCAGCCTGGGCAACAGAATGAGACCCTGTCTGAAAAAAAAAAAAAAAAAAACTTTCCATCGTTTTACTGCCTAGAGATGATAATTATAGAAACAAAAACTCATTTCTCAGTTACCAACTTCCCCTAGAGATGGTGCCAAGTGCGTTATAGACACTATTTTGTGTAATATTTTGGACTTGTAAATACCTTTATCTGTTCAAGTACACCTGGCACATAACTGGTGGGTCCCAAACTTGCCCACACTTGTTAATCACTCAGCTCTGCTGTCTCCCTGAGCACAAGTGTATTTTCAAAACATGGAGGTTTTGTTTGTTTGCTTGCTTTTTTGAGATGGAGTGTCACTCTGTCCCCCAGGCTGCAGTGCAGTGGTGTGATCACTGCAACCTCTACCTCCTGGGTTCAAGCAATTCTTCTGCCTCAGCCTCCCAAGTAGCTGGCACTACAGGCGTGCACCACCATGCCTGGCTGTTTTTTTTTTTTTTTGTATTTTTATTAGATATGGGGTTTCACCATATTGGTCAGGCTGGTCTCGAACTCCTGACCTCGGGTGATCTGCCCGCCTGGGTCCCTCAAAGTGCTGGGATGACAGGCGTGAGCCACCGCGCCCGGCGAAAACATGGTTTTCTTGCCCTTTTCTACATAATGAGGAAACTCAGGCTCTGGGTCCCTGGGTTTCCAAGGCAGGGCTGGTTGCCCTGGCGGTCTAGGTGCGCTTGGCCAGGTGGATGCAGGCTCTCCTGGGCAGGGCCTCTTACCCTCCCCTCCTCGACCCCCGCAGGTGCACAGCGACTTCACCGCGGCAGCCACCCGGGGTGCCATGGCCGTCATTGACGGCAATGTGATGGCCATCAACCCCAGCGAGGAGACCAAGATGCAGATGTTCATCTGGAACAACATCTTCTTCAGCCTGGGCTTCGACGTCCGAGACCACTACAAGGACTTCGGGGGGGACGTGGCAGCCTACGTGGCGCCCACCAACGACCTGAACGGCGTCCGCACCTACAACGCGGTGGACGTGGAGGGGCTGTACACGCTGGGCACGGTGGTGGTGGATTACCGCGGCTACCGCGTCACGGCCCAGTCCATCATCCCCGGCATCCTGGAGCGGGACCAGGAGCAGAGCGTCATCTACGGCTCCATCGACTTCGGGAAGACCGTGGTGTCGCACCCGCGGTACCTGGAGCTGCTGGAGCGCACGAGTCGGCCCCTCAAGATCCTGCGGCACCGGGTGCTCAACGACCGGGACGAGGAGGTGGAGCTCTGCTCCTCGGTCGAGTGCAAGGGCATCATTGGCAACGACGGGCGCCACTATATCCTCGACCTGCTGCGCACCTTCCCCCCAGACCTCAACTTCCTGCCGGTGCCTGGCGAGGAGCTGCCTGAGGAATGCGCCCGCGCCGGCTTCCCGCGCG